CCCCCCAAAAAAAAAATAAATAAATAAAGAAAGAAAAGAAAAGAAAAGAAAGTTGAATATACATTGTCACGATGCGGTTATCGCGCAAGTGTCCAACAGCTGGGATCCCATGACCCCCGTTGCTTCCGGTAAGCGACAATGAAAGGACAAGCAATGAAAGGGATAATTGTCATTCGATCTAGACGATAGTAAAACTTGACTGTCTCTGCGCATATCTCTATGTACATACATACATACATACATATGTATGTAAGTATATATTACCAAATATGAAATATCTGTATAGTGTATCAGGTAGTACAGTATACTATAAATGGTCTGCTGCTGCTGCACGTAACCTTGAAATTCAGCGGCTCCTTCCAATTCGACGGCCCTGGACCACATGACTATCCTCATAAGCTATAGCGCATGAAGATGGTCCATCTTGTATGGACGTATCTAACTACCATCCCGACTGCTCCGTCAATTCTCTAGAAGCCGTTCGCCCACCACTCGTGTTTGATGAACTCCAGGGAATATCCCCGTCATAGTTCTTGAGATTGCGTCTATTGTTCGGGGTCAATGGACGTCAAGCCAGCATCCCTGTCGTTGGTGACCACCAGGTACAATAAGGAATTGTTTATTACCCCAGACTTGGCCAACCATTGTTCGAACCGTTCTCATAATCCCTGGCACAGCCTTGTCTCTTCTATCAACCTATCTTATTTCTATGGAAGCAACGGGGGTCATGGGATCCCAGCTGTTGGACACTTGCGCGATATCCAATCTGGAGATTTTTGCTTGGTTAGCAGATCTTGCTAAATGCTAGTAGTGCTAGCCCTTGAGGCCTATATTATTTAAGTTCATGGATCACCAACTCCAAAGTTATCTACCAGTTTTTCTCGCGATGACGCATTCCAGCATCAGGCAGGACAGGCTGTTCTGATTTACCGTCTGTCAGTATTTACAAATTCGGATCGTATCTAAATCAAAAGTCTTTCCGGTCATCTTTATTATGACGCTTTGGCACCTTGACTGGTGGTGCTGTAAGTAAATCATACAATCCCTCTGTATTGCTCTCTTGAAAGATTGGGGGCTTTGTATGAGCGCAAGTTGCATAACACCTGGCTTTCCCGCGTCTACAGCGTGGCAAAGTGATGGCTGACTCGTCTGAGTAACATGAATGTCAGCTCCCATGCTTGCCTACGAAGTTCTGTCTGTGCTCAGGGCATGCGTGACAGGGGAGTTGTTTGGTCGTGCCGATAGACGTGCCCCCCCCCCCCCCCCCAGCCCAAGAAGAGTCACCACCGATGAAAGCTTCAACCATGCAGTCAAGACTCTTTTATCCGCAACGAATGAAGCGCATCCGCGGCAACTGATTCGGCAGTCAATGGTCGGGATTGCTTCATTCACCCGAGTTGGTGCAGGATCTGTGTAACTACACTAATCAGATTTGATAAATGCCGACATACCCCTATGTCTGCAATGTGCATCTACGCCCGGGCCGTATTCGTCCCACATCATCAGACGAACTCCTTTTGAAACTAAATCTCAACTGGCCGGGCTTACCGCCACATGATAGCGCACCGAAACTACAGCCCTTGGGCTCGACTGTGTAACGAAACTCCGGCAGTGCCCAACGGGCCATATGTGACCGATAGAGGTGACGAGACTGGCTGCCTTGGGATGGTTCATGCAGCTTTCGCCTTTCATGTTCATCCGGGTTTGCGCTCTATGTTCTGAATAATTCGTTGTATGACACAAGGTAGTTCTCCCACTGTACTACAGAACCTGGTGGTCGTGTTCGACTTGGCACGACCGCTGAGCCGGCCAGGATCTGAAACACGCTGATCCAGTGGCGTTCTTCCTTGACCATCCAATAGCTGTGTAAAGGCTCCGTACAACAGTATCACTTGTCCAATAGTTCAATTGAATCAGATGAATTAACGCCAATAGCTAAGGGTACATGCTTGTCGCCGAGACCATGCAGTGCCGTATTTTGAAACGACCGCCATGACATCTGAAGGGATGCGTGCAACACAAAATATACATCGTCGAGGGTCACAAGGGAAAGTGGAATAATACAGCAAGGAGAAGAATGAGAAAGAAGAAAAGAAGCTCCCGAGACAACAGGGGATAGGCCTGCTTCACCTCTTGACCCAGGTGGGCATCTTGCGGGCCTTGACATGACCAGGCTTCTTTCTCTCCACACGACGCGCATCCACCGTGATAACACCAGCTGTAAGATGACAGTCAGTAATGTATTCAATGATCGGGTAGCAACACGCATATTATACGCACCTTTACGCAGAACAGGCTTCAGTCCAGGCTCGTGGACCAACAATGCCCGTGCCAAGGCCAACGTAATGGCCTCTGCTTGTCCAGTAACTCCTCCTCCGCGGGCAGTAGCCCACACGTTGTACTTGTCCAATCTCGATGTGCATCTCAAAGGCCATGTAGCACTCTCTCGATCATGTAGACGAGGAAAAGCTTCAACTAGGGTCTTCCCGTTGACCATCACGTCTCCCTCTCCTTCAACCAGATGGACCACAGCCGAGGATGTCTTTCGCTTCCCTCTACCACGGGCCCGGCCCATCTCATCCACCGTCGCTGGTGCCGGCTTATTCCCATAAGGATTTCCCGGACGAAGGAAGGTTTTCAGGGTATCGCGCACTTCAATCGGCATGATCTTCGGGTCAATTCTATTTAGTCGTTGTAAGATTTTGATAAGGTTCTTGTATTTCTTCGTCGGCACAGGCTCGCCGACAAAGTCGCGGAATTGTGCCAGTTTGAACCAGGCCATGCGGGGCGCTTCACTAGGAGCAACAGTCGGTAACGAAGCCCATTTTGCTAGGATAGTCTCCAAGTTCAGCAGGTGGTCGATGAATTTGGGACTGCCGGAGAAGTAGGCGGGTGATGCAGGAACAATCCGGGCGGGTTGGGTATAGAACTTTTCAAAGTCGATCTCGGGTGCCGCTTGCACCTCCGTCGCATATCCACGAGCGTTTCTTCGTTGTTGTGAGAGGATCGAGGGAACATTAGAACGAAGGGAGATCTTGGGAGTATGGAGGAAAGATCGCAATTGAACTGTCCGACGGACGGACTGCATCGCGTTCACGATGCAACTGGGGCTCTGCCAGGCCATAGTAAAGCTGCCTCCGGCTGGCGGAAGCTTTGCCTGAGACTAAGAGGGTAGGAAGAGAGAAGAAGCAGCGCAGAGGAGGACTTGGGATCGCCGGCCAGATGCGACTTACCGTCTCCAGCGATTCTTGTTCCTGAGGTTTTTCGATGGGGACCACGTCACGTGGACGAGCAAATGTTCCTCCGGCGCCGACGGCTCCGTCTGATTCGCACAAAATTTCGTTCTTATACCCCTCGAGCTGCTTCCCCCCTCCTTTTTCTCTTTTCTTTTTCCTTCTCTCCCCCAGTCCTTCCAAAGACAACAGCTTTCACAATGGCCTTCGGAAAGATTTACGGTCAGCCTGTATGTGCTCTTATTTTTTTTTCCTCTTCAGCTTCCTCTCAGTCATCATCTCAACCGATGATACTTTTCTGACGATCTGCTCGTCGTGGGGGTTACCTTGGGGAACGTCCGGCTAATAGGTGACTCTACACAGAACAACGGTCGCACCATCGCTGCCCTCGTCGCGGCTAAGGCCAACGACGTTGAGCTCGAGCTGGTGCAGACTGAGGCCAACGCCGAGGCAGAGTTCAACAAGTCTGCTGAGTACACCAAGCTCAGCCCCCTCGGCAAGATCCCTGCTTTCGAGGGTGCCAATGGTTACACTCTCTCCGAGGCCATTGCCATTGCTGTCTACGGTACGTGTTTTGTGTGAGAGGATTCCTTCCCTCTAGTATTATTCTATCCTGCTTTACCGCCGCTTGATATGATGAGCGATTTTATTCCAAATAAACTAGTTATCCCTGGCAGAACAACAGTGTTGATGAACCAAACTCTGAAATTTTCTTCGATTACCCCGCATATGTTGGGCAATCTCTTTCGTGGCACATTTTCGAGATCTTAGTGCTTTAGAGTTGTACATTTCCTGAACATGGCTAATTATGACTCAGTGACCTCCCAGAATGAGAAGACCACCCTCTTGGGTAAGACCAAGCAGGACTACGCTTCCATCCTCCGCTGGTTGTCCTTTGTCAACGCGGAGGTTCTCCCCCGCCTCGGCGCTTGGTACCGTCCCCTCTTGGGCTTGGACGGCTACAACAAGAAGAATGTTGAGGAAGCTTCCAAGGCTGCTCTGAAGAACATCTCCGTTTTGGAGAAGCACCTCACTGCCAACACCTTCCTCGTTGGCGAGCGTATCACCTTGGCTGATATCTTCGCCGCCTCTCTCCTCACCCGTGCCTTCGCCACCGTTTTGGACAAGAAGTTCCGTTCTGAGAACCCTGCTGTCACTCGTTGGTTCCAGACCATTGTCAACCAGCCCTACTTCAAGGCTGTTGTTGAGAACCCTGTTCTTGTTGACGAGGTCATCAAGTACACCCCTCCCAAGAAGGAGGAGAAGCCCAAGAAGGAGGCTGCTCCTGCCCCTGCTGCCGAGCCCAAGCCTGAGGGTGAGCAGAAGAAGCCCAAGCACCCACTTGAGGCTCTTGGCAAGCCCGATTTCATCCTCGATGACCTCAAGCGTACCTACTCCAACGAGGATACCCGTCCTGTTGCTCTCCCTTGGTTCTGGCAGAACTTCAAGGCCGAGGAATACTCCCTGTGGAAGGTGGACTACAAGTACAACAACGAGCTCAAGCTCACCTTCATGGCCAACAACCTGATCGGTGGTTTCCACGCTCGTCTTGAGGCTTCCCGCAAGTACCTGTTCGGTGCTCAGTCTGTCTACGGTACTAACTACGACTGTGTCATCCGCGGTGTCTTCCTGGTCCGTGGTCAGGAGTTCAAGCCTGCCTTCGATGTCGCCCCCGACTGGGAGAGCTACGACTTCGAGAAGCTTGACCCCTCCAAGGAGGAGGACCGCAAGTACGTCGATGACATGTGGGCTTGGGATGTCCCTGTCACCGTCGACGGCAAGGAGTACCCCTGGGCTGACGGCCACGTCTTCAAATAAGCTAGTGCATTAGGTCCTGTGGCAAATTCATGATGTTACGTCCTAATTTCTTATCGTTGGGTGGCCATTCTCATATTCGGCCTAAAAAAAAAAACACTTCTCATCACATATACCCTAGGGCTGGAGAGTACTACGATTCAGCACGACTTGTGGTTCAGGTTTTCTGCATCGTGCCGCCCGTACAGGTCTCCGCCCCATCCATATCCCGTCTAATGTCTACACTGTCCATGACGGTTTACGCTTTCTGAAAAAACTTTTGATCATGTCACGCTTACGAATTGAGATGTCGGATGATGCAGTAGCTAACCTAGTTTAGCACTAAATAGCACTTTGTGCTCACTCAACCACTTCTGATCCCATCGGGGTATTGCTTGTAAACCTGTAACCTCCAGTAAAACGTATAGACTGTAGTTTGTTGGCCTCTGCTTAGACATGTCAATGATCTCGACAGAATCGCATTGCTAGAGTTATGCTGTTTGATTCACTGGTCGATGATAGCCGGCGCCCAGGTAGTTTGTCTTGATTTTGTAGACAGGCAATTTATCCGAGGACCTCGGAGCGACTAAAAATATATGCAATAGACGAGGGATGCAGTAAGCTTAGTTACGATATCTAGTTTGTAGCCATATATCGATGTAACTATATGGATCGTGCAACTGAGACTTGAATCACATGGAAAGTAGTTTCCATATACACAGAGCCTTTGGTGAGACTTCAACTCTAGTCAACGATATAATACGGATGAACCCTATACTGGCTATGGGTATATGACCAAAATGATCTTCAATGCAATCATATTATTCCATTCGTGGGTATCAAATTGCGTAAACAAGTGTATCTATCTATGTACTAAACATGCATAATTTAGAAGATAATGTCCCTAATAAACGCATATAAATCACACCTCCGTCAAGACTTAGTCAGTTCTAACATTCAGAGAATCCTCTAATCGGTCTAGGAGAAAATTCTCGGATTCGGCAGACGAAGTTGCGGGTGATGGTGACCGTTCAAGGGTCGGTTGCACGACGGCTTTTGCAGATTCAGCGGAGCAGATACCGGTACTTGTTGCCGCTGGGGTAGTGGCAGGAGCAGTAGCTTTGTCTTCTTGACCTCTCGGGGAGGCCTTTTGTGCTATCTTGCGAGTCTTCGTTTCCGCTTTTGACTCTAGCTTCTGCTCCTGTTTGCGGGCCTTGCGTTGCTCCTTGCGCCTTTTGCGCCTTTCTTTGCGGGCTTGCGCCACGGCTGTCGGCTCAGTTGGAATGTCTTGTTGGGAAGGTGGAGAGTGGGCGTCGCCGGTGGTGGTATTGTTGTGATTCTGGTCGACCTTCTTGGAACTAAGGCCGAGGTCAAGCTCAAGAATGCCATGATTTTCGGGTAACTCTAAGTTCCACTGATGGAGAACTCTGCTGACATCGTCATGTTTTGCTAGTTCGTCTAGGAGTTGCATAACCTTTGGAAATATTGTGGATTCATCAAGACCGCGCTGGTTGGTAAATTCCGGAATCTCGAGTATGTTGTATGGTTCACTGAGAGCCTTGAGTTTACTGTCGTCAATCAGGATGGTGTTGGACTGGTCCCACTGGGTTTTCAACTGCGTGCCAACCTGCGCGGCTTTGCGACGTTTATTCTGAGAAGGTGATGGGTATGACGCTTGAACCGCCTTATCGCTCCATACCGTCTCTAACGTTTTGTAAACTTGAATTTTGGCCCGATATTGTGATGATGTGAGGCCAAACTTGTCACGACCCCATTCTGCTACAAGAGCCTTTCTTTTACTGCCCGGGAAGAGCCTGTCGCAAACCGCCTTCACCGTGTTCGGCTGGGAACTAGACCAGATCATAACCTTATATTTTCTCACCAAGTTATCCAAGAATTCGTCCAGTCCTGCCCTTCTGGCAAACACAGGGGGGAACCGCCGGTGCTTGCGGTAGATCAGCGTGCCATTCAAGTCCAAGATGACCAACAGTGGCTGGGGAGAAGTGACCAATTTTGGCGGTAAGGACGACTGCTCAATGTATAATTTGACGGGGGATGGAGGCTTAGGTGGCGGCGAAGCTACGTCCTTCGTTGCCGATGCTCCGACAGGTGGTTGACCAAGCACATCTGAGATGTTGCCCCCAGCAGAACCAGCTGCTGCAAAAGCCATTGGATCAAATGGTAAGGGCGGAAAGCCACTTAAGAGGGGTCCTGCCATCGCCGGATTTTGTATACCAAAGTTCATCATGAAAGGAGGCGGAGGCATGAGGGAGAAGAAATTCAGAGGATTACTCATGTCATTCGGCAAAGCAGTGTTAAACGATCCAAACGCAGGTTGATCGGAAGGCTGAGATTGTGACTGCTGATTAGCGGTATTTGGAGAAAAGAACGGAAATTGAAGTGCTTGTTCATTGAAGGCAGCCATCCCACTTGGACCTCCAGGAAATATGGGCATATTGAAATTTGGGTGACTGCTAACACCGTCGTGGCTCGCTCCCATGTGTGTATTGCTCTGTGAAGAATACGACTGCGAGGGAGACGGTGCTGGGCGAACAGGAAACGGCCCTTCTTGACGATATTGATGCGCGCGTTTGTCTGAGCTCATACTTCTGTCCGCCGATACCTGATTGCGCAGCCTATGACTCCTCCGCGGGTTGCTAGGCGTAGCTTTTTCAGGGGCCTGGGACGCTGCTCTTCCCGGGTCATTGCGAGTCACCGTCTTGGCATTCCAGCGACCTCGATAGGGTCTCCATGATGCCCTAAGATTGCTATTTGCATCTCCCTGGGTTTCACCGTAGCCCGACCCATTCTCTGCAACAGTAGACCAATTGTCTCCTTCAGTTGTCCCTTGCTCCATTCCAAGGTCGGGAGGTCTTTCGATATTGACCAAAGCCGGTGATTGTTTCTTCCGAGGGCACAAACGTGAAAGCAATGCTGATGTAGAGAATGGTGCCGCAACAAACTTCGGGATAACCTATAGAGGTCAGTTCTTCATCGGACAAGACAAGGAATACGCCGACGCACCTTATAGGAAGCCCCACTTCGAAACATGCGATCATGCACTATGATCAAAGAAGGGGGTAGAGCTGGAGTGAGAATATGAGAAAAGGTGGCCGTACATGAGCGGCATCCCATGGGCACACGAACGAGGTGATAGACCAACAGTAAGGTGTCTTAAGGGAGCAAACGAGAATGCGATGAAACTGATGGCGAAATGCAAAATCGCGGCCAAACGGTCCAGATCCACCAACTAGAGCAAAGCTGCTGCTCCCACCGCCTTAAATGACCGGCAGTATCGCTTCATTTTTTTTGCTCCGCCTTCACCGCCATTGATTGGGCTTCTATTGATACATTGGCTTTTTTTGCCCTTCGCTCTTTCTATCTTTCTTTTGGACAGTATTAATAATCGGATATAACTGCTAGCGAAATGGCGATCTCGGATCTTCTCAACCGTCGTGTGCGAGCTTTGCCGGAGGAAGACGAAGAGATCTATTCAGAAGAATCAGCATTTGAAGAAAAAAGCGATGATGGGCGCTCAGGTGAATCAGATTCAGATTCAGACGATCATGACGACGCAGCATTGGAGGTGACTGATGACAACGTTCGTTTTAAAGTTCCTACTTTTTGGCCCTCATAACGATATTCTGACTTTTGCAATAGTCTGAACACGACGAGCCCGTTGACTCAGAAGACGGCGAAGGCAGTGAAGACAGCGAAGACAACGATAATGGAGAGGACGATGTCCAAGCATCCCTTAGTAGCATATCCTTTGGAGCCCTCGCCAAAGCGCAAGCATCCCTCGGTCCGAAAGGCAAGCGTAATGCAAAAACTGCCAAACCTACAGAAGAATCCCCGCAGACGACATCACCGCTAGACGACATCAGAGCGCGAATCCGCGAGGCACGGGAGCAAAAGCGTCAAGAGTCGGTAAAATCCAAGGACTCGGCAAAACCTGCAAGGACTTCGAAACATGCCCCAATGGTTCAATCATCTAAACGTGCCGTTTCGCGCAAGCGCACTGTTGTCGAACCTCCATCGGTACCCAAATCGCGAGACCCACGATTTGATCCGACGGTGCTCAGTCAAGGTGGTCACCATAATGCTGAATCGGCCAGGAAGGCATACTCGTTCCTAGACGATTATCGTTCTTCAGAGCTGAAAGAGTTAAAGGCGAAGTTCGCCAAAACAAAGAACGCCGAGGAGAAGGAAGCTCTGAAGCGTGAGATTCGGTCCACGTCGGATCGTCTCCGCGCAATCGAAAATAAGAGACGGGAAGAAGAGGTACTGGCAGACCATAAGAAACGAGAGAAACAGCTCATCCGCGAAGGAAAGAAGAGCAACCCATACTTTTTGAAGAAGTCCGACCTCAAGAAGCAAGTAATGCTCAAGAAATACGAGAATATGAATTCCAAAGAACGCACGAAGGCCCTAGAACGGAGACGGAAGAAGATTGCCTCCAAGGAAAGGAAAGAGATGCCCATGGAACGCAGATTAGGTGGTGAGGGCAACGATGACGGTGGCAGGAAACGGCGACGGATGGCGTGAGACAATCTTGATGGCGTCACTGAAGTTATGTTTATGTACTCTCGTATAATAAAATTAGCTGTTCACCTGCTACAGCCTTTGGCAAGACTCAGCTTTGTTCTGTTTACGCGTTGCAACTCCGGGTTGTATGTACCTCTATGTACATGTATATAAACGGCTACGCACCAACTGGCCTGTACATCGCTTAAAGCAGCAAGTGTAGTTACAGTTTCGCTTTTAGACAACACCGCGGTATTAGTTATCATTAAGTGGAAGGACACATGCCCTTGCCGGAAGTTCGCACGAACTCGTTCCAAATCCGACACCCTAGTCGTAAATTCAAGATATCCAAGCGGAGAATGGGGATCATAAAGAATGTAAAAGCATAAATCATCCAAAAAGGGGATGTGAAGTCAGAATAGTAGAACGATCAAAACAATGGTATCCCAACGCGACATGAGAAATAGAGCAATGTAAAGAGCGCGAACGGCAGGAAGGAAAATCATGCCTTTAAAAACAAGCATCAATATGGTTCTCACATGGTCTTGGCAAATCAAAAGAAACCCTAATTAATCACAAGGAAACGCCTCGCAAGTCCATCGAAACGGTGCACATTCAAAGCACCTTTCAATTCAGACTTTGATGGTATAAACGTGAAAAACGAATAAAGAGAAATTGCAGAAGAAGAAAAAGGATAAAGTAGATGGTAAGAACGATGAAAATGAAAATATCAAATCCCAATGTAAGGGCAACGTCAAAAACAACCTAACCCTCCACCAGTTAGGATGGCATCCTGTTCTTGCTGTTCGTATAAATAGTCATGCATATTCATCATGTCCAGGTGGCTGACACCGCCCAGTATAAAGATACATCCGAGCGGTTGCTATAATATCCGCTACTGGCCAGTCATCAAACTATGAGTCTCACGTTGCTGTGGACACAACAGACGGGTAGAAAAACGATCTCCCGTCTGAGTTGCTGGACATGAACTATAGTTGGACGGTTTTGAAGGGTACTGAAGAAGATTGGCCGTGATTAACAAGAAGTTTATGAATGAAACAGATCCCATGCTCTTGCGCATAGTGCCAAAAATTCTTCTTTCTTTCTCCGCTGGGACTCAGGCGAGTCTCTGCCGGCTCCGAATGGGCCATAGCTAGCTCCTGTTCCGGGTGCCAACGCTGGGTTTGGCCGATACTGTAGTTCAGGACCGTGGCCTAGGGGAGGACTTCCGTTGTCTTGCTCGTACTCACTTCTAGTGCGGCGACGAGCGGTCCTCTCAGAGGGGTACATAGGTTGGGAGGGGGGAACCTGGGCATTGGGTACCGGAGCCGCTTCTGGGTGAACTGCTGCGGACTTAGGTTGGCCATTGACGGCACGTGGGGATGGTGGAGTCGGGGGCTGATGGCCCCCATAGTGCACGATACGTGGTAGCAGGTCCTCCCGTCCACCCGACAGCTCTTGAACAGCCTCCTCTGCCGAACGGTATTCCCGTGGCCGCTTGGGAACCTGGGTGGCGGTTCCTGGAATTCTAGGAGACGGTAACGGCGGCAGGTTGTTTGACTGGGAAGAGTTGGGATTGGATGCGTTCTGGTAAAACGGCGCACGGTTTGAGTTCTGCTCACGGGAGCCCAAAGCATCAGAGCCGAAAACATCGGAAAGTGGAGGAAGCCGATTGTTCGTTTGAGTAACAGGGATATGATGAAGATGAGATGTCGACCCCAATGTAGGACTCTGATTGGCAACTTGGCGCGTCAACGGCTGTGGTTGGTGTCTGCTGGTAAAGGTCTGATTCAATGGTGCGGATTGGATGACACGTTCATTGGCAAATTGCGCTGCAGATGGCGGAACGATGGAGAGACCTGGGGGAGGCCTCCGCTTCGAAGCACTAGCTTTGGGGAGACCGAAGGAGGATTCAGATGGTTTTATTCCGTCTGGGCCGTCATCCTTGGCTGACCTTTGCAACCGTGATTCAATTATTGACCTCTGCTGGTCTCTGACTGACAGACTTCTCTGCAACTGTTCTCTCATAATTGGATCATGCGTCTGGAAACCCGGCGATAGGCAAGCGATTCCAACCTGGTGCATATTGACACCCTCCCGGGCCGTCATAGGACCACCAGGAGGGCGGGCTGATAAACCCCCGGAGGTTGGAAGACTCGTTGATAGGTCTAATTTCCGCGGGCGAGGTCGAGAGTGGGATTGCATGGCAGGCGAAGAAGGGGGCTCTTTCTTGACGATAACCTTAGGGGCAGCACTTCCATTTTGCGATCTGGTCAACCGTCAGCTTTTCAATTGCCCAGGTGATTATTTTGCATCCTAGGAAGATACTTACGCAGGCGACGTTTGTTTTCTTCCCGCGGGCGAACTCTTTGAGGACGACCCATCCCGAGAGGGCCCCGAAGGCCGGGGCGGAGAGGAGGTAGAATGGCTACCAGCTGTGGGTGCCAACGTTGGGCAATTTTTGGGACTCGGATCGCGATTCATGTGCGAAGATGTTAACGGGGCAGCTGTGGCAGGCGCAACTGCAGTAGACATATTCGCAAAAAGAAATGCGAAATTATATACCGGAAAGACCTGAGGGTATCCGATCGACGTTGTAAAATCCACAACTCTCCACTTCTTAGCACTGCATTCAAGTCACGCCTTATTCTGTATATAAACCACAAATACTCTTATAGCTGGGACGACTGTGCCACCCACGGTCTATCAGATGCTCTAGAACGCCCAGCGAAGCGTAGCGGGCAAGGTATCAAGCTTTATTGTGTCAGGCGCCCAGCTATTGATAGCGTAGGATGAGGTCGAACCAGATAGCGCGCAAACCTCCAAGCTCGGCAGTGTCGGCGGCTATGGTTCTGAGAACGATAGAGCTGTGAAATCGAGGGAATGGGGGCGAAGGCTCTAGGAACCGAAACCAAGACAGCGACAATGAATCGCCCACGGCGACAAGAGGAAGGAGGGTAGGTGTGGAGAAAAGGGCAGGGAGCCAACAAAAAAAATGTGGCACACCAGCAGCTGTTGGTCAAGCAGTTCGAGGGTGAAACTGTGACGGGGTGTGGCCGGATGCTTGGGAACAGCGGTTAACTAAACGGTAGTAGCTGGGCGGCAATGCGGCGACTCTGAGAGGTCGGTTGGAGCGGAAGAACGATCCAGAGCAAGCAAGCGAAGGGAATGGACCGGGATATTCGACAAAGCTAGCCCAGCGATACGCAAGTGACCTAAAAAGGGAGGCGTAGAGGGCAAATTCAGCTCCTTTAGGTAGAATCACGGAAATCAAATAAAGAAAAAAAGGAGAGGGAAAGGGAAAAGAGACGGAAGGAGAAGAAAAAGAGGAAGAGGAAGAGGGGTGTAGTAGTAGTAGTAGCAGTAGTAGTAGTAGTAGAGCGGATATGATGATGATTATTTAGTAGGTTTTCCAGACTGTATGGGCAAAGTAGAGAAAGAAACGACCAGTGGGACAAAGAACTGGGGAGGAGAAATTCACGTCAATCAATCAGGGTTGAGAAACGGTAGTAATTCCAAACGGTACCACACATTAGTGTGATTATAATCTTAATGGTAATAAACCAAGAGAAAGAAAATTTAAAAAAAAAAAAAAAAAAGGAAAAAGGAAAAAGAAAAGCCCACCAAAATGAGACCAAAAGAGAGACAGAGAGAGAGAAGAGAAAGCTGTATGTATGGTATTGATTGGGTTACAACCGGAGCAGAAGACAAGAGATTCAAGACAAGTCATGTATGGAGCTCGGATGTGGGGGGAGGAGAGAACATTGGAACTGCTCCAAGATGAGTACTACTAGGAGGAGTATACATACATTTGGAACAACAACTTTCATGTAACATGTATTGGAAGGATGTGAAAAATAGAAAATTAAAGAATAAAATAAAATAAAAATTAATAAGAGATCAGGAAATTGAATTAATAAAAAAAATTCTAATTATAATGAAAGATAATATTACAAAAGATTCCCTTATCGACCCTCCCATAGGGTAATAATCGACAAACTCCTGAACCCTCAAATGTGCAGTGGAGAGGGTCCGAGCTCATTGGTAGAGGCTGAGACATGGTTTGTTTCTGTTGAGGGCTCATCCGCTGATGATCTGACACTTCCGTGACAATTTCTCTAGTGCGGATGATGCTGCGTGCTGGTGGTCTCATTGTCTGTACCACCAGTACTATGTACATGTAGTAGTACCCTGGGTAAAAGCAAGCAATCAGTGACCATATAGTATATACCAATATATTGTAAATCATTGTTGATTAATCCAATACTCAACACATAGTAAGGCAATCAACATCCTAAATCAAATAAAATTAACGAAAAAGTAATCTATGATGTTTGAAAGAGACGAAGGATTTCAAAAGGCAAAATTGTCCAAAAAAAAAAAAAAAAAAGCCTTTCCCATGTATGTATTATCAACCAGCTGACAACTTTCCCCCGCTAGGCTACTTTCAGCTAATGTAGGGGCTCTTCCCTTGCGACCCCGTCCCGGAAGTCGGTGATTCAAAACTGCTGGCGCTTAATTGTCAGAGAACGTGATATTACCGACCATACCTTCTGTACCAAATACTATCCTGCTGCGTCTGAGAAGATTTCATTTTATCAGCTAGATATGAGCCTTGATAATACTTCCCTATGAAACAAAGGTTGGAATCTCTTCTTCACTCCCCCTTCCTTCATCCCAAAAAAAAATAAATAAATAAACAAACAAATAAATAACAAGGTGTGACTTGGCTTCTAGTCAGACACGACTCAAAAATCTCTCTCACACTCTGTGTCAGGTAATAATAACAGCAAACTTTAATACCAGGACGGAATGAAACCAAGCCAAACCAAGCAAACACCCCCTTCGAACTATTGGCTAGTATTGGCCTCCAGTGGCACCCAAAGAATCTGCGACACAAGCGTCCCTCACCAACCCGATTGTTATCCACCGGCGCCAAACTGGTGGAAACAATAGTCCCTTCCTGTTCCATGAAAGCTGTTTGTAACTTATCTCCGAGGAAGTGCTGTGTTCCCCTCATGGCCTTTGCAACTGCTCATGGGCATATATGTATGTCTGTACTACTAGTCCATCTACCTAGTACCTGGGAGCGGACTGGCTGACTTGGAGACTATTTTCTTTTACTTTCTTTATATTGATAACCCGGGAACTATATCATTTGCGATCTATTTCCTTTTATTTCATACAGATGTGATGGGTCACATTTCCTCCACGTTCTTTTGACCTTTAGTTTTTTGTCCAGTTCCATAGCTTTTAACCTTTTCCGATTTATCTTCTTCATCTCCAACCCTACCAAACTCAGTGACATAAGAGGAAGAGAGAAGGGTGGGGGGGAATAAATAAATAAAAAGGTTCAATTTTATATCATACGGACTAGGCCTCCATCAGCCAACAAATAACTACCTAAGGAAGACGGCACATCTTCCGGCAGTCTGGAGTTACAAAGTACCGCAGTACCACCAAACATTGGCTATATTAATAACAGTTCCCACGATCTGCTTTGTCTCCCGATTATCACGCGGAAAGTGGATCGTCCTGGCTTGTGGGCGTCAAATTGTGACATACCCAGACAGGTCAACAGTCACATTGATAGTATGAGAATATAGCCCCATTTGCTCCAGGCTTAAGTATCGGTCAATCTATTATGTAGCATCGAATGCCGGAGTGTCTTAGCAGTTATCTAGGCAGATGGGGAAAGAGGGAAAAAAAAGTTTTTTCTTTTTCTCCGTCATCCTTCATCATCAATAATCTGGCCTGCCTCGTCATCACTTACATGTCTCTTCAGAGATCCTCAACAAATTACTATGATCGCCCCTGGATTAACCTCCGATCCCTCCGTATTCATCCCCATTACCCAAAGGTTACGATGGGATCGGCTTGCCTATCCTTGGGTTGACAGGGAGTCTAGTTAAAGGCCTGAGCGGCTGCAAAGTACCTAGATTAGACGTTCAGGGCTGTCATTATTAATCGATCATCATTCTTTAAGTTACTCTTTTTCTCTTTATTTTTATTTTTGATCTTTACTTTCTCCTTTCTGGCTCCTTATTCAGCTTTGTTCCATGGTAATGGTCATCTACTCAAGACCTTGTTCGAAATTAGCCCAACTCTCATTTCACCGTCAAATTCCCCTAAACCTAAAAGTAAGAAGAAGGGTTTGGTTGATCACAGTACTGTATCTCCGCTGTACCGAATTTCAAGGCTGATACTTACTGTATCTACTTCGTTTGCCCAGCCCCAGTAAGCTATGTAACTATTTCACTGTGAAACTACCTTATCAACCCAACTCTGGAGCCGAAAGCGATGGGGAAATCTATCTCTGACATATATCTCTTAGTGATCCAAGTCACGAAGTAGAGATATTAACCGATGCATGGTGAGAAATCGCCAAGCCAAGAAAACGTGAGAGTCCCTTGGAGGGTCTAGATGATATTTGGGTAGATATTACCTCGTGGTGCCTCCTCGATAAGAGCTTATTCCAGCCGCCAGGGTAAATACAGACCGCTTCGACTAAGGAGCCAGAGTCATATCGATCCCTGCGTTAGTTATTGCTGACTCGTGGATTAAACCCTGTCGGGGAGGTGGATTCAAATTGGAGTTAGTTTGCAGTAGGGGGCACAGAGTTCGTATGTTTCCTAATGTAGCAGCAGGCAGGAGCTGTACAATGAATCGTTTTACTAACACTCTTCAGTACATGTACATATACATATACATGCTTGTGGTCTAACTGTATTGACATGAACCCTGTGCCACAGAGTGGCATCGCGTATTTCTTGACATGGAATCCCGATCGCCTATCCTAATACTTTATCTCTAGCACGATTACCGTATGTGGCATCATAGCGTTCCCGGGGAGATAATAATAATAATAATAATATTGGCGGGGACAACGGGGAATTTTTCTACCAGTTGGGTTTGGTTTTATGAGTAAACACCTCAAAGATATGAAACAGAGTAAGTAATACGATCATACGCGATCAATTTTGTTGTGCAATTAATTACTCTTATTATTATAATTGTGATGATGATTTTTTTTTTTCGAGCCATGAAACTAGTTCGCCCATAGTCGTTCCGTAGTTAAAGTCACGCTGGCGGACCCACGTGCCCTCCTTGCAAATTAGATTTAAGGAACGAGCTGCCAGCCATTTCACGAACCACTAGTTTATGGGTCTTCCAATTTTCTGCCTTCCCGAGTCTCCAGAAGTTATTGTTTTACTATACTACTCCGGAGTAGCTTCCGTGGATGTGCCCGTCGGGTCCAGATCAACTCTGACTTGGCCCTCTCGCTATGGTTCCAGGTTCATGACATGAACACGTTGACTAGATGCACAAATCCTGCTACTTGCATACATGCCATACCGGATACTACCTACTACTATCTTTTCCTTGATTCGCCGTCGACTTGGAACATTCATGTGAAAAGATGAAAGATTGAAATGACGTGGACAATTTAATCCTGTTATAGGACCCTCGCTAACTAGCCCGATACTTGTTCTCGCGACAAATCTATCGAATATTTCATTAGCATTATTCACTCGTTTTATTACTGGACTAGATTCAGGAGAACGAATGGACCCCGAAGCTGAATCCGCGAGAGTTGAGTTTGTTCGTCCTCATCTCTCGGAGTATACTCCGTCCTACGTATACTATTACGCACTCCATGAGATTTACTATAGATATTAACGGTAAACTTGTTTCTGCACGGACTGTTCATCGGTTGTTAATATTATCTCCCATGTGGACTTGGAGGTGGTCTTTGCGTCAAGCGAGATGGCCCTCAGCCGATCGCAATAAACTCCTAGGTTCGTGGGAGCTGCCTAGAATTAGATGTCTATCCACCATCTCCCTCCTCCTGATATGCTGTATGGGACAACTCCTTACGTCGTCCGTTTGGTATGTCTTAATTTTAATATTAGCGTTTCGGATTATTTTCTTGACCAAAGAGTTTGGGAGAGCTGGGAGGGCTTCTCAACGAGCGGTTTGATATTGTTCACTCCATCTACATACACCTGGGAAATGAGTCCTCAGAAGTTTCATTTCGACCGATTCTTTATGGACGACCCGAGCTATTTTTAGGGTGTGAACGGCCAGTCATATCTATTTAGGAAAGTGTAATAGTACCCCTCGACCCGTGGTAACAAAGAACTGCCCGTATAAATCATGAATACTATACTGCGGACCTTGACCGCAGGCGACGGTTCAGGAGGACATATGCGAAGACCATTAAGGGTGGCTGGGAAATTATGGATGTGTAAATCCGGTCATCTTCAAATCACTATCGACACCGTGATTCCCTCCCCGGGTAGTTCGACTTTAGTCCTACTGTTATGATAAGCTCTTGGGTCTGGTCATGTAAGGACCTCCTTGGTCCTTCGCGCAGAGCCGTTATAGCTTCAAGACGCCACGAGCAGCAGCACCCAAAGGCCACCCATCGTTCTACCCCCAATTAAGCGTCTATATCTGGTGCCTAGAACTTAACCAGACCGCCAAGGAGAGTTTTCATATCGTACACTCGGTTCTGAGTAACCAACCTGTATGCGAAAGACTGTAAACTATGGCGGCAGAGAAACGATGTCCCTACATGAAGAATCTCAATAACAATGTCTGACTGCCTACTACAAATCACCTGACTTGTTTCACAGTAAGATCTTTGAAAGAAAATCCATTCATGTCCGTTGTTGAATCTCTGAAGTGATTTTGCCAAGAATAAAAACCTCCGACCCCGAAGGCGGTCAATCCCTCTATCGATAACCGTTTTTCGCTTTTTTTCCCGCTTTGCGACGGACTCGGCATCAATTCTGATAGCTTCACAATTGAGGGACCACGACCAAGAATAAATCGCAAGAGGCTTGGAGTAGAGCAAAGCGGCCATTTCAAAATCCTGCCACCTCCCGAGAACGTGCATTACAACCGCTACCCTGTACCCTGCCCAACGCAATCGCCTGAGCATCTCGTTCCAGGAAATCCAAATCTACCCATCTTAAGCTGCACCTCATCGCCAGCAAATCCGAAGTTGAGTTCACAACTTCTTCTCGAGCGGCAATTTGCTTCTCCGCCTGTGCAACCCTACGTACAACATACACCATGCCTGCCTCCGTGCACTCCCAAGATCAAGACCAGTCCATGATGGACGCCACCGCTGCGGCACCTCAAGAACAAGAACAGCAGGTTGAGCAAGAAGAAGTATTGGAGGAAAAGCGGATCACTGTCGTTCGTCTCTCTCAATATTCGCATTTCGTCTAAAGAAAGCGAAGATGTTCGTTACTAATTCATATAATGACAGCTTCCCGGAGCTACCGAGACAGCGGCTTCTTTTCAGTTTGAAGGCGAGGGTCATACATTGGGCAATGCGCTACGATATGCCATTATGAAAAAGTATGTGCTGTTGCTTATTATTTCTGTCGTTTGACGTTGTTCTTGGCTGTCATGCTGGTTTGGATATATGGAATTACTGACAGCTTGAATAGTCCTCAGGTTGAATTCTGTGGATATACTATTCCCCATCCTTCCGAGACTAAGATGAATCTGCGCATTCAGACTTATGGTATGTTCGACTGTCCTCTTTTGTGGATTGCGGACTTGCTCTTCTCTCTGAACAAAGCTAATCTTTGGAATCCAGACACAACGAATGCAGTGGAAGCACTGGAGAAGGGCTTGGATTCCCTGATGGATCTGTGTGATGTTGTTACGGACAAGTTTACCGCCTCTCGCGATGCCTTTAATGCTTCCGAGGCTGATAAAATGAGCTCTTAAAACTTTTACCATTTTCTAACTTGCATTTGCTCTGATTTACTCGGTCTGGGGTGTTTGTATGGCGTTGTGTACACTTAGATAAAAGTTTTGCTGTTGGGTTCAGCATTATTTATGCTCTTTCAGCAACTCAGCCATTGTTATTATAGACTATTGATATCACGCGCTATGTATTAAGAACATATGGGTTTGATGACATTCTTATGGTCCACACTTAGTAGGGCTTTTTGAACAACGTAGTGCATACAAATTCTGCATACCGGTAAACAGGGTGAGCCTTAGATGGTAGAGTCCAATACTATCTACATGTATCTTCTCGGATTTGTTAGGTCACTGGAACTCGTAAGAATGGTTGAGGGTAATCTCGCACGTAACTGTACTACATCTACACTACGCCTATCGAGGACTGGCTATAACTTGACAAATCCGACGTTAGCTACTCTGACAATATTTACATGACACTCTATCGGTGTAATCCTCGAACCAAGGTAAAGATTTCAATGCGAAGATACTCAAGAACAATTCAATTCAATTGCGGCCTTCCAAGAAGCCCGAGATGAAGTTAGGAGGTAGCCGGGCACCGGGGTCCTCCTCTGGACGGAAGTACTTCATCACATGAGAAAGCTGCTTCCAGTAGTTAAGAGTTTCCTAGCGCGTAGAGAGGAGCATCAGTATACTTGATTCCCATTGAAGATGGTATGACTGCAATGGAACAAGTGCAACCGTGCACTCGGCATCATCGCATCTCAGCAAAGACCGAACTTGGACTAACCTGGTACTCAGAGTGGCTCTGGAATAGCAGGACATCGACAGCACCGAGCTGCTTCACGTAGCGGTGCTTCTCGAACTCCTGGCGGACCTTGGTGCGGATGGCGGATACGGGCATGTTCAGGGAGTACATGGTCTGGATCTCGGGGGACTGTTCGGTTCAATGGGTTCCATGTTAGTTTTCTCGCACTTCAAAGTAATGACTCGGTACGATCCTCGGTCGAGCGACTGGGTTCAGTTGTGATATCGAATGTCGGGAACCCTCCACGACTACACACGCCAGAACACCAGCAGAGACAAGAATTGGGTTCACTGACCGCTCTAAGCCATTCTCTGTAGGACTTGAGGACACGGGCCCTGGCATCGGTCCAGTTGACAGCTGTTGGAGGCGAGATGGTTAGCTTTGCATTTTCGTCCATTGACATCGCGGCAATTTCTAAAGGTCGGACGGGCTGGGCCTGCTGGGAGCAAGGTGGACGTACAGGAGCGCGTGCGCTGCGCGAGGTAAGTGGGATTGATGGTCATTTTGGAAGGATGTGAGTCTGTAACCCCAGGCCGGGTACTTGACAATGGCACACTGGGAGGGAGGGGGGAAGAGGGGAGAGACGCTGAGAAAGAGGGTCGACGTTCCTTTCGGGCTCGGGTTAGCGTGACGATGAGATGGGATGGTGGAGGTCGGTTCATGCTCTCGGCGGGATTCTTTCACCGCCTACCTATTTCAAAAAATTTCTTCGCCGTTCTGTCTTTGCGAAACGGGGCTTGGATCTTTCAATTCTTTCGTTTCCTTTTTTTTTTCTGCTTCATTTTTAGCTTTTCCCATTAGACTATTGAGTCTTATATCGGACTGGTGGGGTAGTCTATTTTTGTTGTTGTCATCCCAAGGTTGTTCAATTTATCCTTCTATCTCGCTTGTGGCGTGACTTAATCTCGAGTCTTCCTTCATCGCCGAGTCTCTTTTTCATAATCCTCACGTGCATGCGATAGCCTCATAGATACCTCCGAACAAAACAAAAAAAGAAAAATGGCAGCAAAACCGGGCTCGGCCAAGCCCTCAGGCAAAGACTCGAATAAGAGCAAGCCTCTTTCCTCCGCATCGAAAGTGAGCAAGAAAGCCGCCAAGCGCCCGCCGCCAAAGGAAGTTAAGTCGAAGGCGCGCACCGAAGCAAGCCAGTTGAAGAAGAAGAAGAAGAGAGAGTATACGGAGGAGGAATTGGACCTGCCGAAGTTGAATGCAATCACGCCTGTTGGGGTGGTGAAACCAAAAGGGAAGAAGAAGGGAAAGGTCTTTGTTGATGACCAGGTATGTCTATAGGTGGCATGGTTCCTCGTCTGCACACCCCGTTGCTAATGCGCTTTCGCAGGAGGGAATGGCTACCATTCTTGCTATGGTTAATGCCGAGAAAGAAGGGCAGATTGAGTCCAAATTGCAGAAGGCCCGTCAGTTAGAGGAGATCCGAGAAGCGAAGAGAAAGGAAGCCGAGGCTAGACAAGCACAGAAGAAAAATAAATTGGTGCGTTATATTGTTCCGAAGATGTGTTTCTTCTCCAAAGAGGCCATAAGTTGCTAACGAATATCGGCGAACAGGATGAGACCAAGGCCGCGATCCGTCAAAAGCGCAAGCGCAAGGGTGATAGCAATGAAGACACGAAACCCGATACTACAGCAGCTCAAACTAACGGGTCGTCTTCGAAGTCGAAAGGAAAGAGAAAAAGCGTTTCATTTGCTTGAGAATTTTTGTACAAAAGTATTTCTGTCTATACCAAGTCTATGTATCTAGATGGGGTTTGGCGTTTCCACCGGTCTATGTTTTGACATGAATGGCAACTCATGACAATCTTCTTGCTTCATAAATCACACCACTGAGCAACGGCTTCGGTAACTATCAGCTGCGATTGAACGATTACTTCATAAGCCTAGTTCAAAAGTGCAGACTGGAAATCCAGTTTGCGACGCATAGGATTGAAATCCGGTTTTGGTGTTACATCGAGATTGCTAGCATGGTTGGCAGCGTGGCCTGGAGCTTTCTCGAGGTTTTCAACCAAGAAAGGAGTCTTGAGGTCGACTTCCTTGGCCATGAGGTTTAGGAAATTGGTCACCTGTTCAACGTATTAGGCGTGGGAAAGCAGCAACAATAGTAGACAACAACTTACTGGCTTCACAAACCATCTGCTGCCTCCAAGTTCAAACCAGCCAAGATGCCCACCCCAGGACGTTGTCATCATAACACCATAAGGGGTTTGTCCGATTTCCTGGAAAGGAAGTGCTTTGACGGTAGCAATCTGCTGCTAGTCAGCGCATGAGAGTAGTCAAATTCAGCGTGTCGAACTCACCGGGTCATCCTCAGCTTGTACAGCAAAGAAAGGGATTTTAATAGCAAGCACCGAATCAATGGACGAAGCATCACGGTAGTAGGCACCCTCTGTGGGGTAACCCCATGACGCACATTGCAAAGCCCTAGTGCGAATTGACAAGTCAGGAACCTCCTGGAGATAATAATATCATAGTGTGGCCGCTCACCGGTCGAACTCATGCAAGTATTTAGTACTCCGAACTGCATCAATATCAACCCGAGGATTCTTGGAGACCTCCTCTACGTGACTAATGACATTGGCTGTTAGTCGACCAGCAGTAAGTCCGGATATACGAAGGACGGCCTACTGTTCAAAAAGTCGTTTCATGTTTGATCCCATCACTTTACTGTAGACCTCGAGTCCTATCCAGCTGCTTTGCAAGCTCACGGAGCTTACTTCTAGGCTCCAAGGGCTTGCACAAAGTACCGCGGCTTTCAACTGGCAAGCTTCACCTTCTTCGCCCAAATACTATACAAGTCCAGACCATCAGGATACAGCCGGCAAGCTACGCTAGAGATGACTTACATTGGTGAGGATATTTGCACCGAGGGAGAATCCGATCCCAAACAATGGCCGGTTCGGGAATGTCTTCCGAAGCCACTTGACGGCTTGACGGACGTCCCACGTGGCACGAGCATTATATAGCACGCCGCTGGTTATTTTGGTTTGAGCACAGCCCCTAGAATTGATAACACACGCTTCCCATTCCCCATCAGCAATGAGCGGTGCCACGACGTGGCGTAGGTAAATCTCGTGTGATCCACCACTCAGGCCATGGAGAATAACAAGCATGGGTTTCGTATCATCTGAAGGAAGCGCTTCAAATTCATCTGCCGCGAAGAACGCTGTCCTTTCCGGCAAACCCGATGGCTGAGTGTATTTTCTCTCCCGATCCGTCAGTTGGCTGTCCTTGGGAGCTTCGAATGGATCGACAACGAAGTCCACCGCGAAATGCCCACTGAACATCGGGTTATCGGCTTCGAACATCCAGCGTTTATAGTATACAGGAACGTCATCAAACTTCACCGTAGTCCAAGCCGTCTGGAGATGGCCGTTGAACAAAAACGGGTTGAGCCGACATGTCTTCGGTGTGGCAGTACGACAGAGATCCGTCAAGGTAATCTGTTGTTTAGTTCCTTTCCCGACTTTCTTCAGTATTAGGTTATTGTCTTTTGAGTGAAAGAATGAAACACGACCATTTGGGCGCAACCATGATAGCATGCCCATTACAAGCAATCCCGACAGTAAGATTGGCACCGGAAAGGAGGTCAAGAGAGTAGTAGCGGAAGTCTCAGCGGAAGCCATACGGGCTGAGGGCAAGGAGGCTTATCACAACCAACCACACTTGTAAGAATTGATATCAGTGGAAAAGAGAAAAAGAAAAATAAAAGTAAAAGTAAAAGTAAAGAAAAAGAGAAAGAAAAAGAGAAAGGAAAAGAGAAAGAAAAAGAAAAGGAAAGCAAAACGCAGAAGACCCTTCCAATAATTGTACCAAATATATTTTATTCCGAACAAGTTCTTTTGCGCTGGGGTTCATGTGCCTCGGCATCATTGCCCGATAGGGGACTGCATGACATAAGCACCTTATCTTGCTGCCAGTGACTGCGCTATGCTATCTTGGGTATAGCTTTTGATGTTCAATGATCAGTCAGCCTCCAGATGACTCAGCTCGTGATGTACGTCATGGATATCACGAGGCGCCAAAAAGGGTTGTCAGTTGACATGAGGCATGGCGGCGTTTGTATCTCTTTCCTGGTCAGGCTAGCTGGGTTGCAAGCACTCTGAGTTCAATTCCCCTGTCTGCAATCATGGACATTCTTGAGTTTGGAAATCGAGAGGTGCGTGCAATTCTTATTGCGGTTACCAGGTTGATGCCGGATGCGGAAACCAACTATAGAATGGAACATAGCATCATAGACCTCTTCAACTTTAGCACCCACTTCCTAAAAAATTTTAGCAGTGGAGTTTTAATACAGTACCAGTCAGCAGGCTCTCATGTTGACTCTTCTACTTTGCTTGCACTAGATCAGTCAATACCGAATTGGTATGTAATTCTTATCACAGTCATTACACTGTGACCCTACCCCGTGCGCCGTTTGCGTGCGAAACCGAGAGCATTCGTGTGGACTACTTCAAGGTCAAACGTCCTTCCTTCTGCACTCCCTCTCTCTTTCTTGTAGGGTCATCTTTTCGTCACGCGGTACGCTCCCAGTCCTCTTATTATACGCCATGAGACTCCAGCAACAGCAGGAGATGATTTGGCTCCCATTTCACCTATGAGTCTCTGTCGGTCCCCAGACACATATCCCCATACAAAACCCTCAAAAATCCGAGAACAGCTCAAGAAGGCCCTGGTTCTCGGTTCAGTCTATGGTCCAGATTCACGGTTTTCCATCGATATGGCATATGGTCTTCGTCGTGCTGGGAAAAGATTAAAGACTATCACAAAGATGCATCTTTGGTCACGAAGTCCGGACAGGTCAAATCCTGGCTCCCCGAAGCGGTGTTACCTCCTCGAATTGCCCACCGAGCTACTGCTTGAGATCGTTTCTCATCTACCTGTACTGGCAGAGGCCTCTCTGGCATTGACGTGTAAACGTCTGTTTGCAATATCCGGCGCAATCCTGGACTCCAAGTCACTGCACTTCAATCGGGATTTCGCACCACTCTTCCATCATTACCGGAATGGGCACAATTTCGTTACTACTCGGTGGCAGTTCGTCAAAGTGCTAGAAAACAACACGTGGCGAGCATGCTCGAAATGCCTGAAGCTACATCCACGAGGTTTGTTCTCTTCACGAGAACTCAAACGAAAGCCTGAGGAACGGTCTTGTGAACTAGGGGATCTCGCAGGCATAGTCGATTTGTGTCCATGCAAAAAGCTAACTTTCCGAGATAAGATGGACCTCGTTGAACTCTTGCTGATGCGACAGAAATCGATAACAGCCTTGACTGCGCAATTTGGAACCGATGTCCAGGAACGATTTTGCTGGCATACCTGCACCGAAAACTATGGCTCTACACAGTTGAAGATTGAATTATTTCCGGAGTTAGACGAGAATGGCCAGTTGAAGATCAAGACTGAGTATCGGCTATCAACGGGGTCAGGGCAGCTAGGGAAGGAAGAGTTTATCACTCCTCGGTTTGGATGCGCACACCGATCAGTTGATCTCTGGCTTTCCAGCGTCTGCCAAACCACAATTTGCCGACTGTATGATAGTTTCTGCGCCTCCTGCCAGCGAATATCCGTTTGCAACTCCTGTAATTCTTCGTTAAAATGCCCTCGCAAGCAACCTAGTCAAATTGACGAGAATTCCGGAAGAGCCACATATTTCTTTTGGACTGAGAGATGTCTTGGAGGGACGTCCCCTATCCCGGATCAAGCATGGGCCGTGCAGAGGATCCATCCGGCAGAGAATACGATTGACGTGGACAACTGCAGCGAGTTATGTCCTTGGACCATCCGCGAACACCCTCCTCTTAATGATCCCCCGTCTCTCGAGATGGACATTCTAGAACCCGGCATGCAGAGCCAGTCAATAAATCAATTATATGCATCGATTGGTATGATATGAATGCATGGAACGTAAGGAGAGGCAGGTTGGGTGGGCTATGCCTCGTGAAAGGAATGGCAAAGGTACTGTATAGAGGCGCTATTTTGGGAGTCAGTGTTATTATACGACTCAATATTCTCCTTTCTCTGTTTGCTTTTTTGTCCTTAACGTGTAATTACTATTTCTTGTTGGCTTAATTCTTTATAATGACTATACTAGAAGTCTAGAAATATACATCGAATCTCCATTGTGAATATATATGTAGCAACTTGGAAGTGCTGATCGGGGATGGACGGCAATTGACGCCCTGTTCAGCTAGGATATATACTAGACAAGTATAATGCGCGTTTATATATACAAACCGTTGTTTATAGAATGGCGGTTAATAGAGAAGGATCTCACAATGAATGTATATCCCGAGAGAATAAATAGGTCTTCAAACTGACCGCCTTAGGGGTTTCTCCGAAGCCGACCTCAAAAGGGAAAAGCGGATTTAATATCGCGATCAAACACTCCCCAAAAGGTGATCACCAACTTCTACTTCTAAATGAACGAAAGTATAGACTCCGGGAGAAGCAGAGTGCAGCGATCACCACGAAGCATTATCTGCGTCCTGGGGCGATGAGCTATCCACCACCACCACCTCATAACGGTCAATATCCTTCGCAGTACCTGCAGCAGCCTCCTATTCAACCCCAGCAGACCATCCAGCCGCAGCAGCTACTGTACAATAATGCCCACCCGAACGTTTCGCCATATCAATATGGCAAGCCAGTCGTTTATCCTCAGGTCATGATCCCGGCCTATCCCGCCTACGCACACACATATAATCAACAACCACAACCACAACCACAGCCTCAACATCAACCTCAACCTCAACCGCCGCCGCAACCGCAACCGCAACAACAACAGCCGCAACCGCAATATGTGAACCCATCCGACTTGTTCAACACGCCGCCTCTCCCTTCTATATCGCCTTCCCAATTTACACAAAGGCCATCTCAATATGGTGGACAACCTGCGGTCTCTACCGCTGCAGCCAGTAGCGTCTCCCCTGCACTCACTACCCCCGCCGCAACGCAACCAACGTACACAGCTGCTAGTCCAAACCAAGGGAACCAAGTTTATGGCAAGCCCCCACAGGCTACACCAAGTGCTACACCAAGCACAACACCGAAGCCTACACCGAAACCTACGCCGAAACCGACACCAAAGGTTACACCAAAGGCGATGCCCAAACCTACCGCCGCGACTGCACCGATTCCCCCCCCAACTGTCCGACCCCCACCTGTTACGGCAACCCCCCCGGTACTGTCACCCAGGCCAGCCCCCCAAGTCTTGATACCAGCTCCACCCCCGGAAATACAGCAGAAACTCCAACGGCCGCCGTCCAAGAAGCAAGCGCAGCGACAGGCTGGGCAAATGACACCCCAAAAACCAGCAAAGCCTCCCATCGACTATCAGGTCCTGCTCCTGGCGATGGCGGATGAATATCTCAACGCGGCCCATAGTAACGGAACTATGGTCGCCTTACTGAAACAGGAATTGGAAGTGGAGGAATACTATAAGTTGGTCGCGACGGGTCTTGGTTGCTTGGAAGCGGTGTTGAAGGTTGGTGTGGAATTCGCTTCGCTGATATTGATTTTACCTACTTCTGACTAACTGTATTCTTCAAATCTGGTTAGAACTGGAGGTTACAACCCCGAGTCGAAGCCCTTGTGCGATTAAGGTATGCGCGCATTCTGTTCGAGGAGACGGACAATGATCTCGAAGCGGAGACCGCATTGAGTAAAGGCGTATGTCCAACCCCTAGAGACTCACTATCTGGCCACGCTGCTAACATCGTGCTGATAGATTGACTTGTGCGAGCGGGTAAGTCGCTTTTGCGTTAAACTCAGTATTCCGTTGCTGTTTCCCTGGTTACTTACAATGCTGCAGAACCGTATGCTGGACTTGAAATACAGCATGCAACATCTTTTGGCACGGATGCTACACAAGACAAACCCTAAGGCCTCAATGAAAGCTGTGGATGGGATGATCCAGGATGTAGAAGCGTGAGTGATTTTCAGGCTCACGGTGCACAGGTCATATGCTGACTAGCATAGATATCGGCACTCTGCCTGGGAGTATGCATTTCGTTTCCTCCGAGTATCCCTCTCGCTGTCTTCCTCAGCCCACCAGGACTCCGTTGCAGCCCTGCAACACCTACACAAGATCGCTAATATGGCCAACCGCAATGGCGATAAGGCTGTTTCGGCCATGTCGGCTGTCATCGAGGCCCTTGCACATCTACAACAGGGATCCGGCTTCGACTCCATTGAACAGGCTCAGCGCGCCCTGGCGGTAGCTCGGAGCCACCAGCTTAATGACGAGCTTCGCCATATACCGCAGCTGACGACGCTGGTGCAAATGGTCGATATTTGTTGCAGTCTTCTTGAATATGACATCAATCAATCGTCACAGAAGTTGAAGAACTTACAAGACCTGATGGACGAGCGATTGAACGACCCTAATTGGCGTGCCGATGGGTCGTTCTCCATTCCTCTAAGTGGCAAATCCGCAGGACCGTCGTCAATAGACACCGGGGACATCCTTCAGGTCCAGAATGGCACGTTGCTCTTGAGCTTTAATTGGCTACCTCAGCATGATCTCTACGCGCTTTGCTATTTCTTAAGTTCCATCACGCTCAGTTGCAAGAACTCCTACGATGGCCGTAAAGCTGAGAAGTTCCTCCAGGAGGGGATACGCATGATACAGGGTAAGCGCTGCGTCAGCTTTGGTTAGGCCAACGCTAACTTCGTCGTCTAGGGAGTTTTAAATCGCCACAGGACATCACTGAATCAATGGTCAATGCGAATAGGCGTGTAGAATGGCGCAGGACGCTGTACTGTAACCTTCTTCTTCAACAAGTGTTCCTTGCCTGTGGCCGCACGGACTGGGACCTTGCCAGCAAAACGCTGAAGGACCTCCGACAAGAAACGCAAGAGCTTGGCGAGTGTCTACCTGATACTGTTCAATGTCTGATGGAGTACGCTGCGGGTACCATTGCACAAGCAACTGGCGATCTGAAAGCTGCTCTCGACGCTTTTCAATCCCCTCTTCTTTCGTTATCTCCATCGACGAGCAAAACAGCCCGCAATGACCCCCGGCGTGACATTGCACTTCTTGCAGCCCTCAATACCGTTCTCATACTCCGTGATCCAACTCATGCATCACACTTTCAGCTCCCCAACATTCTGGCAACCGTTGAATCATTTTGCAAGGGTAGCCCCAACAAATATATCCAGGCAGCTTACTATCTGGTATGCGCTACCGTGCAGACCGAATCAACCATACAAACCAAGCAGTTCCTCCAGCAAGCTCTCCAGTCAGCCACGGCGATCAGCAATAGTCAGATTACTTGCATGACCCTAACATTCATGAGTTGGAAGTATTTCCGGGGGGTTGTCGGGGAACAGGCCGAAAAGAGCGCGCGAGCAGGTCGTGCAATGGCAAAGAAAGCCAACGATCGACTCTGGGTCAGTGTCACGGACGAGATGCTGGCAGAGACTCTGGAGAGGCAAGGAAAGAATGATGAAGCGAAAGGTGTCCGCGAGGAGGGCCATCGAGTAATGATGGGATTACCGCCCGCATTGAAAAGGCCCTCCTAGCTCCTGGCTCTTGTTATACTCCTTCCTTTACTTGTTTTTCTTTTGTTATACTGATGTGACTTTCTGGGTCTAGTATATGATACCATCTAGGGTCTGAGGTGTATAGGGTATAACGGCGCAATGAAGACATAGTAGGCATCATTTCATGAAAAACCCCCATCATGTAGTAGACATAGAATTCAAGGAGTATATTCCACGACTTTGGCCAAACTGAGCCGTTCCAGGTTCCAATGAAGCAAGTGATTCATGCATGCCCTTTAAAGAGTCGTTGTCTGTCGACTGGTGTCCGCCGGCTTACACATTGCAGTCTGGACCCGACCCTGATGGATGGAGGTCAGGAATCGGTTAATCGGTTGAGTAGCAGTAAGGTGTAGGATTAAGGCAGGTCCAAAGTTCAATAACTGTAGCATAAAACATCTTCCTTTTCTACCTCCCTAGGTGATGTCCAGCTCTACGGAAATACACTACTAGCTACGCCAGTCGCTAGGGGTATACGGTGTACATACTTCACGGCTTGTCTAAGCATATCTTTTATTGGAGTTCAGATCTTAGTTCCGCGGAAACATAACGAGTAGAAAATTTAAGGAGGAATTACTCATGACTGTGAATACTTTCTCACGTTGTCCTTGTCCCCACGAAGAGGCATAATTCGAACTTGAAATGCGAACGATGCAAGGCACAGGACCGGAGTCGCATATCACCCTTTTGTTGCCAGAGAATCAACCTCTGCTTTCAAGTTTGGAGGCAGACTTTCATATCCTTGGATCACAACCACTTCTTTTTGAATCAGAATATCATTTTGCGTTCCAGGGACCGAGCGAAACAAAGGCGGATATAAACGCAGAAGGACCACACCAATAGGCGCATCATCCTGTATATTCGCAAACCTCGCAGCCTGAGGGTTAAGCGTGTGGTGGGTATGGGCATCCATGATTATGAGATGACTCAGATAGCTCTTGTAGACAATTATAGGCTGGGTCCAATCGAAATCTCGATCCCATCCCCACCAGTACTGTTCCGGCGAACATTTCAATCTCAGCGCAAGAGCTGCAATTTGTGGTAAGACCTGTTGCTCGAGCCTTGCAAACTTTGGGTCCAAATCAACTGTTTCCTCATAGCTGAAGTAACTGAAAAAACCACGCAAGTGATCGGCTAATCCAGAACAGCATTGAATAATCTTATCCTTGTAAACCTGAGTTGCAGTGTAAGCCCTCACTGTATCTGACCGCCAGAGATTAATACTTTTAGTATCTACGAAGATAAGCAATCGCCTGTATTCAGTGGTTGAGGGTACGCCAACCTTTTTTCGGTTCCAGCATCGATATCATGTCATAAAGGTGCTCTAGGAGTTCTTGATCCGCTGGCGGCGCGGCGAATACTAGAGGTTCGAGTATATGTTCTCGAACAATATTGAAGATAATCATTGTCAATATCTCAGTTTGTGCGTGATTGAGTTCTAACTGAAACTCTCTCGGAAAGGTAAGCAGGTTCTCATCAATACCTCCGCGATGGACGGCATCATATAGAGCTTCGGTGAAAGACTTGATATCAGGAAACCCCTCCACCCACTCACAGAGGCTATCGCGGGCTACCAGGAAATTCTCGGAAATAGTCGCATCAGTGATTTGGTAGTCAGGCATAGTTCTAAGTATCTGAGTTTGAAGTTCAACCTCCAACTTCTGGATGCGCTGGTGTGCGTCTTTTAGTTGTTGTTCTATCTGCTCAATCCTGGAAGCTTGCTGCGATATGTATTGGCCAACAGAGTTCACACCCTCGTGAATGCCGTTTGCATTTAGTTTCAGTTTTTTCAAAGCACTTTGTACCGGGAATTCGTCTCGGTTCGGGTCTCTCGAAGAGGTAGTGGCTGGTACATTGCCGGCTAAAGAATGATTTTGACCCTAAAGGACGGTTTATTACCTCAGAATCTTTGCGAAAGACGTTGTGATCGAGGGGTATACATACATCATAGACTATTGGGTTTGAAACGATATTTCCATCCATGTTCTCTCTGTCGCAATAAAAAAAAAAAAAAAAAAGAGTCGAGGCACAAGGGAGGGAATATCGTCCAAGACGAAGCGGAATGTCCGAGGTTAGTATAAAAAAGTCTTGAGATTCTCAGTGCTTGATGAGCGATGACTATGCCGACCTGAAGCAATACAGTGGATGAACTATTGGACTAGTGATTGTACTGATTCCATGAGATGAGATGATGATTAGAACAGAAAGTGAGTGTTATAGTGATTTTTATTCACTTCTATTTGACTAACACAACACAGCAATTTGGTCTTCCTTTCTCTGTCGATTCCACTACTCTCTATTCCCACTTGTTGGTAGTTTCAAATTGACTGTCTTACAGCTCACCTCATTAACCAACGCAACCACACTAGTAACAGGGGAGACAGTCTACTGCACTTCGTCATACTCAATTCTATATACAGATCCATTGAGAGCAGAGCTCTATTACATGCGATATGGAAGACACCTCGGCTGGAAATAGAATCGTTGTGGCTGTGGATTTCGGCACGACCTACTCAGGTGTTGCGTGGGCCTCAGCAAGTAATGCAAGTAACTTTTGTCTCTACACTTTGTCCTTATACTGACAACTGTTCAAGCCCGAGAGACACCATGTTATCAATCAATGGCCGCAGAGTCCTTCTACTTTCGGTGGAATGACAAGCGAAAAAGTGCCGACTGAAGTCGCATATGAGTATGGGGAATCCGGGCCGACTTGTTTGTGGGGATTCCAGATTTACGATAGCAGGCCCCGTATTCAATGAATCAAGCTTGGATTTGCTGCTGATCAGAAGCCTGGTTTAGCCTCGCGCCTTTCTTTTAACTACTATGACTACCGTCGAGTCCCCGAGCCATACCACTCTTCATCTGAAGATGTGGCGACAGACTACCTCCGATGTTTGCATAAGCATATCATCGAGACTATGAAGTCCAAGATTGGCTCTTCATTTGATAGCATTAGCCTGGAGTTTGCTCTAACTGTTCCAGCAATGTGACCCGACAAAGCCAAGATGACCACACTTCGCTGTGCAGAGAATGCAGGCTTTGGTGAGAATGGCACAATACGTCTAATCTCCGAGCCCGAAGCCGCTGCAATGCATGCGTTGAATGCATCTAATCCTCATGGATTAGAAGTTGGCGATACTGTTGTTCTCTGTGATGCAGGCGGTGGTACGGTAGATCTCATAACGTTTTCAATTGCTGAACGGGAGCCTACTCCGCGTCTTAAAGAAGAAGCTTCCGGAGATGGCTCACTCTGTGGCAGTACTTTTTTGAATAGGCGGTTTGAAAAATTCCTAGAGAGTCGATTGTCCTCAATGCCAGGTTGGGGTCGTGACACACTAGACGAAGCAATGCAACGCTTCGAGACGGTCATAAAGAGAACTTTCTGTGGAGATGTAACCCAGGATTCTATGATACCTGTTCCCGGCATTGCAGATGACAGCGCTATCCATGTTCATCGAGGTCGACTCAGGGTAAGGGGACAGGAGATGGTTGACCTGTTTAAACCAATTCTCGAAGAGGTTCATTATCTTGTGGATAACCAAGTGAGGACCTCTAAGAAAAGAGTGAAGGCGCTATTTTTGGTTGGGGGATTTGGACAAAGTCCGTACCTTCGCAGGTACCTTTGCGATGCTCTTCCTCAAGATATGGAAGCCCTGGCCCCGGTTGATGGGTGGACTGCAGTTGTTAGAGGCGCTTTAATGAAGTTCCTCGGGGAGATATCTCCTTTAGCGACCAAAGCCTTTAGTTGAGTCACGAGTAGCCAGAAACTATTATGGCATGATCTATCAGACGAGGTATGAGAGAGAAATCCATGACCGAAGGAAAAGGTATGTGCAACCAAAAGATTCTACTTTACCTTCAAAAATTAACAATGCTAGATATTGGAGTGATTTCTATGGGTGTTATTGCATTCAAGTCATGAAATGGTTTATTCAGAAGGTGCGGCAATCTGCAAAATGCCCATATAGTAACTACTAATGGACTTCTAGGGAGATGAGATCAGAGAAGCCGAGCCAATTGAGACCAGCTGGCAGAATTACCGACTGTGTAGCTATGGGAACTTTGACTCAATCCGCGTTAACCTTTATGAGCTGCATACTCCTGTCGCGGAGGAACCACCTTTGTATTTCGATCGCCGTAAGTTTAGAACCAGTGGTACTGTTGTGAAACTATATGGTCTACATCTATTAACTGTTATTTGTCAGGTGTAAAGAAACACGCAGTTCTGAATCCAAATCTTGATGCGATTGAAAAGGCCCGCATGCCGGTGCGCCTGGGTTATGATAACCAAGAATATTACCACATCGGTTATGAAATACATGCAACTTATTTCTCCGCCCACTGTGAATATGCCCTCTGGTATGAGGGTAGGAACCATGGAGGCGTGCGGGTCGACTACGCTTAATGAATCTGTCTCTATAGCCTAACCAATGTTACTGCTTTGAATCGGCACCAAGTGCTTCTTATTCTGGTCTGCCAGTCCTTTTGGAGACAGCCCCTGGAAAAGTGGGAGAGAAGAGGAAGAAACAGAGATGTGACGGGGAATTTCTATGACCTCTAGGCTTTCTATCATCGATATGCTACCGCGATATACATGGCTCAATCGGGTTCGCTGAGCAGGATTCTCTTCGCACTTTTGTTTTCATCTATTGTTGTTTATGCTTTGGCGGAGGGGTGTAGAACACTCAATCTAGGAAATCCTGGCATATTTTCCGTTGTCCCTCTGCAATTGATCTAGTAAGTGAGTAGTCAGGGTTTGACTGGCACTGATTGACTTGATCCCGCATAGTAATCCAATGCACCCCCGAAAGTATCTTATCTTGATGCCTTGGCCTGAACCTGCTGATCAGTAATCAATACCCGACTGGGCACTACTAGTACGTAGACTACCTACTAGTAGTACATGAACATTCTGCTAGGGTTCGTATCAATAAAATTAAAATTCCTTCGTTCAGGTAGGCGATGATGAATTTCCGGGAAGTATACAACTTCTCCTAAGCCCCCCATTCTCATAAGATGAGAAGGGATCCTCTCAGCAGACACCCATATTCTATTATACACGGATCACACCACACTAACAGACCCTACAGCCTTGACATGGACAATAAATCACAATGGTGGTCCCAACACAAACCGAATCAGAAGACCTGCTCTGGACATAACTCCATAACCGACCATACGCCTGCAACCTATACACCAACTAGCAAGATTCGGAGGAAATTGCCGTCAGATATAATAGAGGATGCCAAGATTGTAGAAAACCAGACAACAACGGAATTATAGTGATCGAGATTCAAACTCTCCAGGTGCGTTCTCCACCGGATGCTTGTTTTTCTTAACTGCGTCTCAAGGCCAAATGCGCGTTCAGCCTAATCCACCCCAAGCGCCACGGATTCTCCGAGCCAGTTGAATATCCTTCTGCATGATAGTCACTCGCTTCGCGTGTAGAGCACATAGGTTGGTATCCTCGAATAGATGCACAAGAAAGGCCTCCGCGGCCTCTTGCAGCGCCATGATGGCTTGCGACTGCCAGCGCAACTCGGATCCCACATCTGCGGGGAGTAGATCCAATGCAACTTCGCGCACAAGTCTTGCGAATGGGAGCTTCCGTAAAAGGAGGTCATAAGAGCGTTGATATTTGCGGATTTCTTTGAGGGCAACAGTGCCCGGTTTGTAACGGCGATGGCGGCCCTGAGGGGTAGGATCTCCAGCTAGAAGTATATCAGCATAAACGGTTCGTAGTTTTAGAGATGGCAACTTGATGAAGACGGTTAATAGATACACATACGTTGGACATTTGATTTTCTCGATGGACCAACCGGTCGCTTCCCCGCTTTAGCACCTCCAGTGGGCTTGCGTCCTCTACTTGAAGGGGAACCTTTTGCAGCTGCACTGGATGGGCCTGCAGCTGCGCTTTCTTTTCCGGCACCGTCCGCCTTTGCTCGCGGCACGGCGGTTACCTTGCGACCCTTTCCTGTCTTCGGTGGCATGGTGATGACAAGTCTTGCGCGATTAAAAATGGATTATTTTATAAATGTACAAGTGAGTCAGTTGGTACGTGAGGGGCAATTGTACAGGTGCGGATTTCCATGCGACACACACTGTCTCCCTTCCCGGTTGTTTGTTTTTGCGCCGAATGTATGCTAAAACTCGGAACAAAGAACTTTTGAATGCTTTTGGCTTAAGGCGCAACCCCTCTGAGCACCCAATTGTGTGAGACAACAGCCGTGGAAAGGCCCAGTCTTGTTAGGAGGGGTCACTGCTCCAGAAAGGTCCACAAGTAGGGAAATTGGGTGGTTGGGAGCACTTGATAGCCGACTTTGGCTCTGTTACCTATGCGCTGCTTCGCCCAGCCGTTCGGATTAACGCGTAGCGTGTCTTATTCCCCGCCCAAGCGCGCGGCTGTCGTCACAGGAGCACACGTGATGATAGTGGCAGATGCCACCGCCTTTAAAGTGGAAAAGGCCACCTGGAGCTCTTGGTCTCCGCCTTGCATAGTGCCGGGATATAATGGTGTCTGTTCCGCAGCCGACCGTTGATCATCTTGATAGCTATCGCTGTCCACATCGTCCTGCCTACACCCTCCACGCGATCCTGCCTATTGCTCAACTCCGCTCGCAATTGCCTTTCAGTGATCATTCTGCAATAATCTGGCGGCCTGCGACTCTAAATAATCTCCGGCGTGATGGCCGCCATCTGGGGTAATGGGGGCCAAGCAGGGCAGTTTCCCCTCGAACAATGGTTCTATGAAATGCCTCCGGTGACGCGCTGGTGGACAGTAGCCACTATAACTACATCTGTACTAGTCCAGTGTCATATCTTGACCCCCTTCCAGCTATTTTACAGCTTTCGCGCGGTCTATGTCAAGTCCCAGGTATGTATATCACTTGCGAGCTTGGCCGGTTCTATAAAGAGGTGAGCGCAAGACACTGACAGTGTCTCAGTACTGGCGACTTCTTACGACATTTCTCTACTTCGGACCCCTTAGTCTAGACCTACTATTCCATGTCTTCTTCCTACAGCGGTACTCGCGCCTTCTCGAAGAATCGTCCGGTCGATCCCCAGCTCGTTTCTCTTGGTTGCTCTTCTACGCCATGGCCTCTCTCCTCCTTCTTTCCCCGTTCCTCTCGCTTCCATTTCTGGGCACAGCCCTCTCCTCCAGTCTGGTGTATATTTGGGGTCGCCGTAACCCTGACACCCGTCTCAGCTTCCTCGGTATCCTGGTTTTCACGGCGCCGTATCTTCCCTGGGTGTTGATGGCATTCAGCCTGGTGGTCCACGGCATCGTACCTAAAGACGAGATTTGTGGTGTGGTCGTCGGTCATATCTGGTATTTCTTCAATGATGTCTATCCGTCTCTACATGGCGGCCACCGTCCCCTGGACCCTCCAGGATGGTGGATCCGGTTATTCGAGTCTAGGGCCAGCGCAGGAACCGATACAGCGAACCTGAACCGGGATTTCGCCGCGGCTGCGGCACCTGAAGTCCGATGAGATGTAAAACACCCTCTGATAAAACTTTGGATCATGAAATCTACATAGCGTCCGGCAATGATGGGAGCGCAGTGATCATCTTTGGAACCTTTTTGGGTAATACATTGAGTTAGTGCCGTTTGCAATCCCGTCACATGCATTGGTGCACAATGTAATCCGACTGAAGTGGTGAAAATTGGGGAGTTTTGTAACACCTCCACTAGTTTCGGGCCGACTTCATCTCTTGTTCCTTCTTCCGTCGACTGCGCGACTTGGTGATTGATGTGCAGCTGACTGGTTTCCTAACAGACGGGTCACAGGGCCTACAGCGAGACCATCTCACCTACCATCCAGGACGTTGATATCGCTTGTGGGGAGGTAATCGAAGCGGTTTGGGGGATACTGTGGGATTATGTCTTCATTCGTATGTAATCTGTAATCCATAGAATAGAGCCGTCATCAAAGCGCAGTGATTTGGTGGCACTTACGCACATGAATGATACTGAGAACGTGACCCCGTTGCTATTACTGTGCTGAGCCCATTTCTCATACGTTTGCGGGAGATGTCAGCCAAGTTGAGGACCACCTGCATTGGAGGGCCATGGATAGAACTCCGTGTAAACCATGAACCGTGAACCGTGTGCCTTTCCCTGCGACTTCCCTCCCCGCCTCAGGTCCTCCGCACTGGCCCAATGCTTATGCCCTGAGTGACGTCAATCCCAGCCTCTTTCCGTCGTACGAGACCGTTCATCAATTTCTATGTGAAGACTGATAGGCGAAGAACAGCCACCGTCCCAAACTCCATCCCACCCCGCCTTTTTGCTGCCAGGTGGCTTTCCTTGGCTGATGTATAAGGAAGTTGTTGATTGGCGAGAGTACTAGTGTTTTCCTGTTCTCCGAGATGCTACCAGGCAACTGAGTGGGTGCCGAATTTTGGCTAAACTGCGCCTTCTTAACCCATCTACGGTTGAGGCGGTGGGGAGGGTGGTTATAGAGAGACTTTCACGTAACATAGTGTGTCTGTAACTACGGAGAGTGTTGAAATTGGTACCGCGAATAGGTACCGTAGATCAATAATATGTGATTATCTGTATCCGGAAAGGGAGAATGATACATAACCAAGAAAGTCTGAGGCGATCTTTCTGGTTGGTGTGAAATTGACGATGATGGAGCAAATTTCTCAACGTAAAAATGCGCCGAAGGTTAGGGTTATTCTCTTTTGTTGGCGGTATGTACCTGTTTTCAACGACTTGGCGTTATCAATGATATGGGGGGTTTACACGTGCCAGGATTGTTGGTTGGGGATTCAACTTAGTTAGGAATCCGTATGGATTTCTTGCCCATCGACAAGACGCTATCATTGCCAATGTACTTGGGCAATGCACAGATTCATGCTCCCAAGTCTTGGATTGGAGACCACTTGACGCCGGAGACTCGTCCCTGAGATAAAAATGAAACACTCCAGAAGATAAAGACCCATGGAGACTGAATGGTTCTGTCCACGCGTCTGACAGTCGCTAGAAAGGTCCACTTGACCAACGAGAACTCGGTATGATTTGAAGACCGCGGAGGGGCGATATCACCGCCTCCTACATGCGCAATCGATCAAGTGGGTCAACACAAGCCCCGAAAAGCCCGCCGTTGATTCTTTCTGGAGACTATTTTGAATCGATGGTTGGCTGGGCGCAGAAACTGAACAGAAGAAAGGAGCGAAAAAAAAAAAAAAAAGTTGAATAGACAGGAAGAAAAGGAGGTGTACCCTACTTCGTACTCTGTACAGTATATTTCTGTCTCCAATAAAATAGAAGAGAAGGAAAAGAGAATTATTAAGTGGAGCAACAAGCACTAACATACTGCTCACTACTTACCTACAGGCAGTACCCGTCATACATATATAGAACGCACTATTGACAGGCAAACCCCCTGCCTCATGGATCGAGCTGACTGCATGAGGCATATGGTCAAACATCAGTCAAACAGATTTGACGCATCGTCAGGGCTTCGATACTACTAAGCAGGCAGTGGCCGTAAGAGGTTTGGCGCATATAGTATAGAGTGGAAACTATGGAGCAATCGGTGTCGGCGTTTGCTGCCACCGATCAATCTGATATCGTTCTGCTGAACCATTCCAGAAAAGAACAGCGAACCGAAAAAATATTAGGCGCAAGATGGGCACGAAGATTTCGTACTCGTACCAACTATTCATTCGTGGTTCCCCCGACAGCACAGTGCGGTACTTCCATACACTTGTTCTATCCCTACCTAAGCGCTCGTCATGCATGTGTGGCTGGTAAAGTCTCGGCGAATCGGCAAAATTCTCCAACCATTCCTCCTGGTTAAAGGTGATGATGAGCCACAGTCTATTTGACCAACGAGACCAGGTTGAGGTGATGGGACGTTTTTGCCATTCCCACCTTGACGCAATTGTCTTGAGCTAGGAAGTGTTGTTGCCTAGAGATTGATTCTTTGCGCTGTTATCGAATGTACTGTACTACGGAGAGGTGAAGTGGCTATTATAGGAGTAGATAGAAAGAAGTATGTATGTATGTCGGATATAGAAGCGTTCAATTTTAATCAGGAAGAGGTACTGTACCTATCCTATATACATGTACAATATACGGAGTACATAGTAGTACTTACTACTGCTAGTCCTCGTACTAGTAGGCGGTAGGTAACCTTCCATAATCTGCGATAATTGAGAGCCTGAAGGCTGAGGCAACTGCCGCGAAAAAAAAGCAAGTGGATCGCGTCTCCAGGCTTAAGGTTACTGTTGACGAACGGGTTGTCATTGCAGAACATCCAATGACATCCATTATATAACCACGGCTTACTGCGCGTATGTTTTCCTAATTTTAGTAAACCCTATCATGGCTGCAGATGCAGTGTCATACAACTTTGGGACTATAGGGGCGCTGCAGGATGACCTGACTGCTATCTGGGGCTCGTTGGGAAAAGTTTCGATGATGTTCAAACGATGGGGGTACTCCGTAGCTACTTATGGAACCATTGATGAAATACGATTACGAATGGTCAACTCCGCTAGTAACGGTTACCTTGTCGACTGACTCGACTCACCTCGCAGTAGCTACTAAAATGGGGAAACAATTTTTAAGGAGCAGGAGCCTGTCGGGAGTAGTAGGTACTACATACCTCAATACGGATAGAGTCTTGTCGAAGCTACTACTCCGTAATCCAAAAAAAAAAAAAAAATTTAATTTGGCGCTATTGTAGTTTACATTGGTTAAGAGGAACTCAAAGGGTAAACTATCCCCAACGGATCATATTAAGGGAAGACTGATCAACCTGACGCGGGAAAATTAAGTCTTCTCAACTGTTTAGGTTCTCCGCAGTACGGTCGTCCCTTTGCATTTCCTCGGATTAAGGAACAGGCAACAACAATAGAAAAGAAATACATACCTCATCATTACGGAAATATATGCGCATAGCCATTCTATCAATCAATAGAAAGGAAGAAAGAGAGAGGATATTGGATGAATGGATCCCTTACCCACGTCCCAAAAATAATCGACAATAAGATCTCAGTGGGAGAATTTGGGACAAATGGTGAACTGCGTAAGCTTCCTTTTCGGGTATAGAAAACGAAGCGCTAAAACCCAGACCATCGCCTTTCTCGGCTAAGGGGGTCATCCATGTTTCTTCTCGTTCATTTTGATTTGTTCCTTTGGTTTTTCTATTTGGACCCCACACGTATACCGCCAATCACGCTTATCTTTTCCTGGACTAAGCTGAACTGCCACACTGACCCTTGACGAGTTGCCAATGATTGGAAGTCTCTTCAGAACACAGCAGTTTAAAAGGTTAATTAACCCGATGGACATCAGCAGTGGCTCTGGCTGAAACAGGTACATAGTAGATACATTACCAAGGATGCTCTGCCAGTTGGCCTTTAAATTGAGATGTGGCTCAGTCTCGTTACGGTTACTCTCGCCAAGGTTCGCAAGGAGGACAGTGGCATACCGAAAGATCCATTATAATGTACCTACACTAATCTAGTTTGGTTGACCCCAAGAATAACTGTGTAAATGAAAAGAGAGAGAAAAAAAATATTTTTTTTTGTTTATGAAGGGGTTATTCATGAGTGTCCAAGAAAAAAGTAAATAATTAAATACTACTCCGTAAATAAATACATCAAGAAACTCGGCTAATAGACTGATTTACGGAGTACTGTCTGTAGTTACGCCTCTAGTAGTTTTAGACCTGCGACGGGGCCTGAGGCCGCCCTCTTAAAGTGGCGGAGGCTTAGCCTTGGCTCCAACCTAAACCTTCCCCAAACAAGTCGTGGATGTGAGTCTCCACTTGTCCTTTTTTCTCTCCCTCTCCACTCTCCAGAGCCCCTTATCCTGAACTATCTCCTAGCCTATGATGGGCGCTCTGGTGGCCCCCGTAGTAACCATGGGCCGTTGTTGATGCTTTGCCGCCGCCTACTGTCTCCCTGCTCCTAGCAAATACTGCCCACAAGCACACTTTCTCTCCCCCCTCCCCCAAACTGTTTGTTCTGTCACCTGCTGCCGCTCATTATTACTAGTTGGTGCCTCTGCTTCGTTGCTGGGCGTCGTTCGTTCCTTTTCTTGTCTGACTATTCTTTTGCTTCAATCAGAAAAAGGACTACCCGTCTTCATTCCCTTTTTTTTTTTTTTTAATTATCAATACATCGTTTTTAATTACCATTCGCCTCTCTCTCTCTGTGCATCGCCCCCATATCTAAACCACCCCCGCCTCCCTTTCTTACTACTCTTTGGAGGACTTTGTTCGTTCCTTAAATTACCATTGTTCCTTTATTGAGTGGCTCGTGGCCGGAACCTTCTCTGTTACTCGACTTTTTCTTTCACTCTAGGGAGTTTAACAGAACCGTGAGAGAAGAAAAAAAAGGTTTCGATTGCGCTTTCTCAACCTTAACGATCACCCTCAACTGCCATTGTCCAAGAGCACAATCCTCTTGTGGAAGGCTCATGGTTGCGACGTAATTGCTGTTAGGGTTCTCTTTTCCGCGCGCTGTACCAGTCTGTTTTGCCGGGTTTGGGCAAGAGCAAGCTTTGTCTGTCTCAATCCCTTTACGAGCTCTCGACCTCCTTTCTAGCTGTTGGACACGAATATACGACAGTGGGCTATATCAATTGGTTACCTATCACCAGAACTTTGGATCATTGGCCATTGCCGCCTATTTGTACCGTTTTAGCTGAGAAGCCGCCGTGATATTGAACGGCTCTTACTTTCACCATGCGGAGAGGCGTCCTAATCTTCCTCGTTGTCAACCTCCTAATTTTATCCTTCCTTGTTCGCAGTGTCTTCACCCTTCTATCACTGCTAGTGGAAGATGCTTCCGCCGATGCAATCCATCGCGCGGAGCTTCCCTCGCCAAATTCCAGTTTGATCGAGCAGCGGCCGCAGATCATTCCTAAGATCATCCACCAAACCTACAAGAACGAGACAATTCCCGAAGTGTGGAGGGAGGCGCAACAAAGTTGCATTGACTTGCATCCTGACTATGAGTATATTGTAAGTGCAATCCCCTTGTTATGCCGAGCAATGGCACATGCTAACACGTTCTTCTCCTTAGCTTTGGACGAACGAGAAGGCGCGCGAATTCATCGCACACGAATACCCATGGTTCCTTGCTACCTTTGATGGTTACAAGTATCCTATCCAGCGAGCAGACTCAATCCGATACTTTGTCCTGGCCCATTATGGCGGGACATACATTGACCTTGATGACGTATGTTCACCACGGCAGAGCTCTTAAGGGACGTGACAAAAGAAATATTGTGCTAATTGAAGTACGTTAGGGCTGCAATCGTCGTTTAGACCCCCTCCTCTCTTACCCAGCTTGGGTACGTCGCACCGCTCCGACAGGCATCTCCAATGATGCGATGGGATCTGTTCCGCAGCACCCGTTCTTCCTTCGAGTGATCGAACTGTTGCAGTCATATGACCGTAGCTGGTTGCTTCCATACATCACGGTGATGTACTCCACCGGACCTCTGTTCCTTTCGGTGATCTGGAAGGAATATATGCAGGAGGCTATGGGTGAATCGTCGCGGGTTCGGATTCTGATGCAGGATGAGTACAACAAGTATTCATGGAGCTTTTTCACCCACCACGTCGGCAATAGCTGGCATGGTAAAGACGCACGGTTGATTTTCTGGATGGGGCAACATTGGATGTTCCTCACCGTATGCGGCTTTATCTTGGTAGGGTCCGTTGGCTTCTGCCTGTGGTGGGTTTATGGTCGACTGATTCTGTTGGGCTCGAAGTACCGTTATCGGTACACTAAGGTTCCAACATTCATCTCTGTTTCCGGCCTATCCCCTACTCGCAGACCACGGCGCCCAACCCCTACATTGCTGCGTCGTGTCTCTTTTAAAGAGGACGAAGAAACAGGACCTATCACTGAAACCTCATACGAGCTCTACAGTCGTCGTGATTGAGCGTGTCCGTTTATATCTGCGTTTATATTTGCGTTGTCCACATTGAAACACCTTGAAACGACTTATACTATACACTCAAAGTACCTGTCGAGCGTTACTATGTGGGGTACCACCCCCACTCTACTGTTTTTCGCATTTTTTGTGTTTTGTCCGGAGTGCATGTATGGAGTTTTGGGATGGGGTTTGACCGGAGCGCTTTGAGCCACTGGTTCCTTTTGCAATATTTTTTTTTCCCCTTTTCCTTTTTTCGGTGGCTTGTACATGATTTGGCCAGATGAGTGAGATTTGCACCCGAGAGGCAATATATGATGTCGCTTACCCTTGTATCATTCTGTCTTGATGTTTTGATTTACAACCTTGAAACCTGGTTTCTGCCCCCTTCGTTTCTGACTTGTCTGTTCACCATATATTCTTTTTTCTTTTTTCTTTCTCTTTTTTTCTTTATCTCTTTCTTACCCTTCTTTCTGCCCTTGTCCCTCACACATAGACTTTTTTTTTTTTTTTTTTTTTTTTT